ATATAAGCGACATTGCTGGGTTACTGGAAAGGGGGGGGGGTCTGAGATAATTTTTTAAAGAAATAAATGCGTTTCAATTTTTCATGTATTCGGTTGATTTTTATGAATTCTATTGCATTTTGAAAATGTGAAAAACCTCTTAACCGAAAGCCTTTTTATTTATTTTAATGCATATTTGCAAGATTAAATGCGACGAATATATCCTGTCCTATTTATTCCCTTGTAACTACATTTCCCCTAAAATTGCAGACTATTTTGTGTCATTTGTAAAACTATCTACAGCTGTCTAAGGAGATCTGGAAGTTGTGTGGTTTGACCACTGACCAGGGAAAATACCATTTGAAAATGGCGGGGATGTCAAAATATACAACCTTCCTCAGAGAAATTAAACAAATTCTTAAACATTTTTTATTACAACAGCTTTAGAATATTTACCTCAATTTTTGATCATCTCTGGGCTCCTGTAATGCACTTTCGACTGAAAAATGTAATGAAGTGATCTGAAAGTCTGCTGCGCAGTTACGGTGTTACCTGTTACTGCTTTGTGAATTCAGTTGTGAATTATGTTCAAACATCATGCTCACGTGATTTAATTACGTAATCATCATTCATTACTCTACTGCGGTCATTAAATCGTGAAATGTGTATAAACTAACGCTGCGAGTACACAATTTTTTTTTACATGTATATTGTAAATTTCAACAGAAAATCTTGTGCGTGGGTATTTTGGTAAACTTTTTAAAATTACAGTCATGAATTACATTTATATGTAACAGTTATGTTTATTCAAAATAATATACCGGTATAAACATACATTGTAGACGGTAAAATATGCATGAATATACTTTAATATATAGGGTATATCAATCTATAATTGCTTGCATGCTTATTTTGAGTGCAGAATACCAAGTCATAATTATATTATATTTCAAGATTAAAAGCATGGCCTAGACTCCCAATCATAGTAGGACACAATAAATAGGCCAAGATTTCTCCTCAAATTCAATTTTTCTGAAACTTTGATATTTTGTTCTAGGATACAAAATCTCTCTTTATATATGATATGGAAGAAATTCAACCACACATTTTTTGCCCACATAGTCTGAAATATGGCCTATCATTTAGTAAAAAAAAGTATTTCTTAAAAAAAAGTTGTCCATCCGGTACTTGAACTCGGGACCTCTCACATGCGAAGCGAGATCTCAGAAACATACCACTAGACCACGAAATCGCTTTACATGGCATTAAGTATATGCAGAAGTGAAGTCACATACATGTAGATATTCATGTTCGGTATTGTCAAAATTTTACACAATCCATGGTGTTTGATTTATTTAGCCTTTATTAAACAGTTCTAATAAATGTAAAAAGAACAAAATGTCCGCCGAGAACCTGTTTTATACGCAATAACTCTCCTCATGCCCCTGTGCTAAAAATAGCGACATGTAATACTATAAATACTAATAAAACAAACGGGGCGGGGCACTTTGAGAGGGGTGAGAGAGATCCTAGGGAGTTTTAGTATAAAATTACATTGAATAAGCTCAAAATCTTCTTGAAATATCGCCCGGAAATAATTGTGTTACACACAGACAAAATGTGTAAATTTACGACCTTGAACTTTGACCTTTTGACCTCAAAATCAATAGGGGTCTTTATTAGGCCACAGGGAGTTGTTATGTAAAATTTCATTTCAATAACTCAAATGGTTCTAGAGATATCGTGTGGAAACGAAAGTATTATAACAGAAAGAATTTGCTTATTCATGACCTTGACCTTTGACCTTTTGAACTCAAAATCAATAGGGGTCTTCTTTAGTCCATAGGGAATTACTATGCAAAATTTCATTGCAAAAGCTCAAAGGGTTCTCGAGATATCGTGTGGAAACGAAAGCGTTACAGACAGACAGAAAGACGGACGGACTTCATGTATGTATATAACTTTCGCCATATAAAAGCGGCTCCGTGGTCCAGTGGTATGTGTCTCGCTTCACATGTGGAAGGGTCAGGGTTCGCATTCCGGACGATCCAAGTTTTTTTTTTTAAAATACTTTTTTTTTTACTAAATGATAGTATTCAGCATGTGAAATGAAATATTTATGAGGACTGGCTTGCACAGAGTCATAAAAATCATCATTACAGTGTGATAAATATTCCATATAAAAAGGATCTTCTACGCACATAATAAAGAATAATCAATCAAACCTTTATATCCATATTGGCATATTTTATTTGCTTCAGTATACATTTAATAATTCTACAAATTCAGTCAAGGGGATCCGAACCCCCCCCCCCCACCGACCCCCGAACTGCGCATGGTTTACTTTTTCCCTAAGCGGGGGACACAAATTCTCTGAATTAGCTTGTATGTATATTAGTCCTTGACCATTAATATATGGTCAAAGAATAAGACTAATATATAAAACCATAAAGCTACAGTTCTGCAGCTAAAGAAGTCCTATCTTTAAATAAAGTAACAAAACAAAACAAATAGAAAGATCATTTTAATTTTAGTTCAGATCTTATCAAAATACGCCCTGATATGATTATATATTAAGTTTGTGTATAATTATAAGTTCCTGGCCTAGTATAAATCTTGGAAAACTACTAAGTATATGTTTAAACATGTTAAATGAGTGTACATAAAAGATGCATTGGATATAGAGTTAAAACTAATCAGACATGGGCCATAAAAGTTATTTATGTTTCTGTTAAAAGAGAATTCCTATTACCCAATATTCCACTATCAGTTTGTACATATTTTATTACAGAGAAACATTCCAATACTATGTGTGCAAAAAGCATGAATAGATGCACGATAAATCACCATATGGATATTTTATGCAATGAAGCCATATTTACTACCAAATTCCAAGAGACATGTCTGTAAGATCCCCCCCCCCCCATTTATATAATTTTTTTTTTAAAAATCAGTTTATATGATATGTTTTAATAGCGAATTAATGAACAATCTCTACAGAAAAATATTCATATTCCCGCTTTTTCTCTGTTTGTACTTCATATTGACGGTTTGAAGGAATACACTAGCTAAGAACTCATTTTACCAACACCCTATTCGTCCAGTCTTGAATTATCGTCTCGTATCTATTGTATTTTCGACCTATTTTTCACAATCTGCTTCTCGTGCAGATTTCGCGCGGTAGAACATTATTTTCTGTTGCTACACTTAGAAAAATACCTTGGAAGCACAACTGTAGTTAAAATATCCAAAATAATTAATTCAACGGAATTCCCCCGATGGTTTTAGTCCGATGTCAGAAATTCTAGTCTTTTTACTTATGCACATTTTATCTGTTGATTAATTAAAGTCGTAATCGGTTAATTACAAAGATTTTTTTATGACATTTTTCCGAAAGAAAATTAAGATCTCTGACAAAGAGACGCATGAAAATTGAAATGAATGGTTGGATCAAACAATTTTTTTTCTTCCTTAAATATGAGCACTTTCTTAATTACAGATTTTTACTGAAAAATGCAACGTAATTTCATTGATTTTTGTTTGGGAAATGCACAGCTATTGACAGATGGGTTCAACCAACGAATAAATGTATTTGCAACCAAAATATGCAACTTGTTCAATGTTTTTTTGAAAGACAGACAATCGTATTTTTATTGCTTGGAATATCCATGGATATTTATAGCCAATACTGATTGGGCGTTGATACTATATTTAGGTCGAAAACACAAGACGTTTATATTTTTGTAAGGAAAACTGTACCCAATCCATATTATGGCATATAAATAAAATAAACACAAAACTGCAATTTGGGTTATATCATTTTGTTTAGACACATATGCTAACATTGTAAGCCCTTATTTTTTCAGATTCTATAAAGTTTACAATAAATTAATAAATAACATCTATATAGGTCGAAAATACAATATGCCAGGATACTAACTTACTTTCCTTGAACAAGATATGACAGAACACATGATGAATACTCGGCCTAATAATGTTCAGAATTATATTCCACCTAGGAATCAAGGATTGAATTATGCCTTACCCACCATGCCTGAGACACAAAATCCTATTGGATTGGATTAGGAATGTATGATAGTCCAGAACCCATGATCAAAGATGATATGAGCATGATGAGCATCTTGAGCTGACTATAACATATAAGAAATTTAGACCTACAACACCTGTGTATTTTAATTGATTGGAGCGAGATTAATCAGATAAGAAGGGAAAGCTACCACTCACCAGGATCATGAGAATGGAAGACAAAATGAAAGGGGGTCTTGTCAGAAAAAGGAGAAGAAACAACAGTGACAAAAAATCCATTGAAAAGAGACCCATGCTACATCTGTAAAGTGATGGGTCACTAGGCTCTAGACTGTCCCAGAAAAAAAGATTTGTGTTACAAGTGTGGAAGGATCGATGGACCAGTGAGTGTACACATAATCATTAGAATTAGTGCAAGAAGTGGATTAAAGGAGAAAAAGATTCAGAAACATCATAAGATTTAGTTGATTCAGAACATAGTGAAATGGTGAATAATAATAAAAAAAGGAAACAAACTGGAGACCCACACAAGAAATCCATGAAAGTCCAGAAGAAAATTTGACTTTGTTGATAAATAGCTCCAAGTTCAATATATTATTTGTTCTGATATTATTTGTTTTTGATTTTTCTATAAATAATAAAGACTATGAACGAATTTTAGCATTAATTAATTTAGATCATGATTCCATGAAACAATTAGAGTCTCAGTCAGGTGTCATTTGATTTTCTATGAGAGATAATATACAAATATCGCACACTTCATTACCTGGAAGTTAATCACCAACACGAGTTATCACCCTTTGAAGTATATAGAACACATAAAATAATTAATTTTACCATTAGGCCCAGTTATACTTTCATGAAGTAAAGTTAACCATTATTTATCATTAAAACATCATGAAAAAATCATGTAAAGGGGATTTAGATGATTTTGAACGGCATTAACATTGACTAAGGGGGTTTCGGTGATAAGGGGGCATTTCGGTGATTCGTGTCACCCTATCATTATACTTCCGGTAAAGTCACAAAATGAGTTCACTTGCAAATCAGACAGATCCCAGGCGGCCTAATAAGATTGTGAGGTTCGTGGAAAGCTTCTATGGATTATTTCACAAGGACGATTGATAATTTTCTGTATTTGTTTTCATTTTCACATAATATTTGACACTGAACCTAGTGCAAGTCTCTACAGTTTATTAAGCAGAGTAAATTCGGAATTAGTGACGCCACCTTTTTCTAATGGAATATTTGGTGAAAATATAAAAGAAAAAACCAATAGATTTGCTAAAATTTTATATTTTTGATATAATCCATTTCTTTAACATTTATTGATATATTAAAATTTCCAGGTACAAACCACCTCAGGCTGGAACCCCTTCAGATGACCCTACACCAGACTATATGAATCTCTTAGGCATGATTTTTAGCATGTGTGGACTTATGATGAAGGTATTTAAGTCATTCCTGGTACCATTAGTATAATTTGTTTTACAGTTTGACCTTTGGGGTGGGCAGAGTTGTACCATTAAATACATTTACGTACTTACACTTACCTGCCTCACCAAGCAGGTCCAGTCCAAAGACTTTCTACCTACGTAGCTATTAATAGCTACGTAGGTATTTAAACCTACCCAAAGTAGCTATTTTTAGCTACTTTCTGCTTTACTTGCATTTTTTGGCCAAACGGCTGAACGGCGCAATATGTTGAGTAACAGATTTCTTGATACAGTCACACTAATGATGGATATGAGAAAAATTTGACCAAAAAATGATTGCTTCGTAAATTAACAATTCTGCGTAGAAATTAATGTAAAATTGAAGATTTAGGAAGTAATCATTTTTTTAGCCAACATTTTGTCGTATTCATCATTATTGTGACTGCATCAAAATATATGGTATTCACCATGTTGAGCCATTTGGTCTTTCGGTCGCAAAATGGCTTAATGCAGATAATGCAAAAAGTAAATATAGCTACTTTGGGTAGGTTTAAATACCCACGTAGCTATTAATAGCTACGTAGGTAGAAATAGTCTTTGGACTGGACCTGCCAAGCTTCCAATCGCATTAGATAGTCTTTCTCTTAAACTGAAATTGAATTTCAGTAAGAATCTTAAATATGCTTAGTTCAATTTTTTAAACTGAATGTAGAGGAAATACAGCTTTAATGTTCCTTGTAAGTTCTTTAGGAAGAACTAAATATTCATGATAACTGTGGGCCCGTTATTCATGTATTCACCATTATTACATGGAACGTGGATAGCCAAGACATTCTGGGAAGGTGTCACATGAAATTTTTCCTGAAGAATATATGAATTTTAGGTCAATTTCTGCTATTCTTATACATGTATAAGCCTATTGACCTTGCTGAACTCAATAATATGTAGAGATTCGAAAATCCATACTCCTATATATATATACTTATATTACATTTAAATATGTAATATCAGCCCAAGTGGCCCCAAATCATGCAGTTCTTTGGGCTAATTTTACAAGATACTGATTTTAAAAATGGTATTCTATTTATCTTATGTATATAAAATATTCCCATTATATACGAGTTTAAATTTTGATTTGCATTTCAAAGACATTGTTTAATTTCTGTTACAAAAATGATTTGTATGATCTGAAATGTAATAATTTTACTCCACAATACAAGGTAATTTATTACTTCTCTCCTTGTATTTTCAGTTGAAGTGGTGTGCTTGGGCTGCAGTATATTGCTCTTTTATAAGTTTTGCCAATGCCAGGACCTCAGAAGACACCAAACAGATGCTAAGTAGCTTTATGTAAGTTTTCTGAATAATGAGTTATGTTTTTAAAATTTAGACACCTCTGATGGTCACAAATTTTGTTTATCATTGGTATCCCTAACATGTATACCATAATTCAAATATCACATATATAGAATTGGCTTCAGTGACGTGTGTCCCAAGAACTCTTTTATGAAGCATTTTACCCTCAATACCGCAAATCTCCAAATATCTCGAAGTTTTTTCTCAGTCCCATTGAATTTGAGATAATGAGGTTAAACTTACATCATATTCACAACATGCAGTTTACTACATCGCATTCTTTTTCCTTTCACCCTTTATATTTATATTCTTCCCCAGATAATTACCATAAAGATTTAAATATTTCTTGTATAATAATATGTCTCTGTTGTACATTTGTAGGTTGTCAATATCTGCAGTTGTGATGTCCTACCTACAGAATCCTCAGCCTATGACCCCACCCTGGTAGTACGGAAAAACAACAGTGTAAAAGACGGAAGGGGAGGGTGAGGTAGTGTTAGGGGTAATTGCATACAAAGCCAGAGAATGCTGTCATTGTATTGAATATGATTTGGCAACTTGTGAGAATGAAATCATTTTCTTTGATTATTGACAATTTCAGTTGAACTGAAAATGTTTCAGGGACACTTATTAGCTCACCTGAGCCGAAGGCTCAAGTGAGCTTTTCTGATCAAAATTTGTC